AAGAACTACCCTGTTAGTCGAGATAAATTACTATAAAATCAGTTTAAATTAGTTAAAATTCAATAACTTTTATTGCGAGGAAATTTTTCCAAAAATAAAGAAATTTCCAAGGTTTTGAAGGAAATTATGTTTTTTTGAAAATGGAAGCACTGCTCGACCCCCCAACAGATGCAGGGAAATTTCCTGTGGCCCCAATATATTTCATTTTATAATAGGACAAAACTTCATCTTCATTGTCTTTTTGGCTGTTTAATAAAGTTACCAGAAGTGACAACTTGACAAATATGCACGAAAGTGACTTTGGCAAATATGCATAAAAGTGCATATTTGCCAAAAGAAACAAAATAAAACTGATTTGCATTGCCTTAATACTCAATGTCAAGTCCAGTAACTTTTAATGAAGCTTTTTTCTAAGAAAATAAATTGCGTTTTAGAATGCACTGAATATCACAAATATGTAAGGTTCCTAATTTGTTCATGTGTACTTTAAATTTAAATGAATACTGATGCATGTACTAAAACTTTACTTTGAATTTTTATAAATGAAAGAGTATGAAAGTTGATTGCTTTGATTTTTATGTATTCATCGATGTTTTGGTGGCCACCTCAAAATTTAATTTTCCTGAGATGACCCCCCTCTCACATCGCTGTTTTTTCTGGTGGCCCCCCCTGCAAAAACCACCAGCACCCTCCTCCTGATAAAAATTGAACGGTCCCTATTTTATATATTTGTCAGCATTGTTCGCCGAGTGTCCAAACACTAGAATTTTATCTTGATTTTCTTAACTTCGATACAGCACAAAATTAAACGCAACAGATTATATTTCAAGATTATATTTGCCACTTTCTTGAAAACACAAAAGCAAAAAATGTGCATTTGATTGTTAAAGCCTGTGGCTTCTTGTGTCAGCGGGCAGCAAGTCAATCTATAATATAGTCTTCATGTTAGGTAAACTAATAGTTTTTTAGTTGTGGTCAAATCCCCATCCTCATTGTAAGTGTAATCAAATGCCCCACCACTTTAAATTTCTCGACAACAAATGCCCGCCCCTAGGGAAAATCACAAATGGCAAATGCCCCTCTTGT